TGGAGGGAGGGGTAAGTTTAACACATGGTCTGACAGTGTCCACCTGAAATAGGCCCAGAGAGGGGAAGGGGATTTCCTGGGGTCACACAGCAAGCTGGCAGCAAAACCAGAACTTGTACCACACACCCTGTAATCAAACCTCATCTTGAACCTGTTAAACTCTCAGCCGGTTCTAAGCAGCATGATATAAGCTTCTTATTTTGAGGAAGGGACTGAATCCAGATTTACTGAGCCATTCCTCTGTGTCCCTGACCCCTGGAGCCTGGAGCCTCCTATAGCAGAGCCAGGTTTTACTGAGCACTTACTATGAAGGCCAGGTTCTGAGCTGCCCGTGGGCATTATCTCCTGCCTTGTGGCAGAGATTTCTCATCCTCATTTTATATACATATACATACATATATATGTGTGTGTGTGTGTGTATATGTGTGTGTGTGTGTGTATTTTTTAATTGGTTTTAGAGAGAGAGGAAGGGGGAGAGAGAGAGAGAAACATTGATCTGCTGCCTCCTGCACACCCCCTACTGGGGATCGAGCCCACAGCTCAGGCATGTGTCCTGACTGGGAACTGAATCGGCGGCCTCTTGGTGTATGGGACCCTGCTCAACCAACTGAGCCACAGCAGCTGGGCTCTCATCCCCATTTCTGAGAAGAGATAACTGAGGCTGAGCGAGGAACAGCCCTTGTCTCTAAGGCATAACATTTCCTGAGCACCACTGTGCCTAGCACTAGACTCCCCTGGGCTCTAGGCTTGGGGACACTGGGAACAAAGGCTCCCAGCCAAACCTCTAACCCACCCAGCTGCAGCCCCCACCACCCCATGGCCTCCCCTCCCAGTCTGTTTAGTCAGCGAGGCACAATTTAAGGCTGTGGTGTGGAGTTGAAGCATCCGGAGCCCCAGGCAGCTGATAAGAGGAATTGTCACTTTTTCCAGCTCAATTATTAATTGAAAATTTCCGTTTTCAATTTTTAAGTAATTTCTTCCTGTTTTGTTTTCTCATCTCTCACCCTCCCTCCACCCAAACACTTCCCCAGTCCCTTTTTGTGGCCCGTCCCCAAGCTCCCAGGCTGGGAGGGCTGGCCTCCCTCACAGAATCCTCTTTGTCTCCTCCACATGGCCTCTCTGACCCCCTACAGAACAGACACAACAGTGTTCTCCACGGGGCCTTTTCCAAGGGACCCCATCCCATCCGTGTCCCATCCATGGAAGGGGAATACAAGGCAGTGGGTGGCACCCTGGAAGGGATACCAGCTGCTGATGTGCTAAGGAACCTCAGACAAGTCACTTCCCTTGGCCTCAGTGTTCCCATCTGTGCTGTAGGTGCACGGGGGATTCCGCCTGCCCCAGAGGCCGCCTAGCTCTCAAAAGACGCAGAATGCTGTCTCAAGGGCCAGACCTGAGTCCAGAATTCCAGGGAACAACCGCCTAACCCCTGCCCTGTTCTTGCCCCCTCTTCGCATGAGCTAGGCCAGATTAGCTTGTACATCTGGCTGAACAGTGAGCTGCGGCCACAAGCAGACCCTCCCCAGGTCTTTCTCTGCCAGTTTCCACAAGGGCTGTGGTTCACATCCCTGTTTGTGCCCAAGTGTGCTCTGGGGAAAGCATACGACAGCAGAGTCTGAAGACCTGGCTGTGGGGACTTGGCCATATGTCTCGGCTCTGGCCCTCAGTCTTCATGTCTATGAAATGGGTTGGCTGGCTGACAGCCCAAGGTCCCTTTAAGCAGGGTTTAAATGTACCACCAACCCCATTCTGGAATGGTAAGGCCTCTAGCTGAGTCCACCCAGGCGAGCCTGTTACAGCACTGTCTCAGCAGGCACGCTGCACGGGTGACCCACCTCAGGGTGGCAGTGGGTGGGGAAATGGGAGGAAGAGGGAACCTCAGCCTCCACAGTAAAAAGCCCAAGGCTCTGGGCAGCCCCACCCTCCTGGTTCCCAGCCCGAGGGAGACCCCTGCTGTCCACTGTGCTAGTCCCTTTTCCCTATTCCAGGGCCCCCGAGGACCAGACGGATCAGCTGGGGAGCAGGGGCCCCGAGGTCTGAAGGTGAGGACCCCCATGGCCTGATCTTCCTCTCCCCTCCCATGCTGGGCCAGGCAGGAGTCCAGGAACTGGGCTCACACCTCCTCAGCACCAGGCCCCTGGGGGACAGCCAGGAGTCCCTGAGAGGCTGGAGGGTCGTTCCTGAGAGCTCACCCAGCCACTCCTCCTGCCCACACCCCAGCCCTGATCGTGGGGCAGGGAAAGGGAGTCGGAGCTTTGAGACAGAGCGAGAGTGAGCGTGAGCGAACACGTGAATGAAAGCCAGAAGCATGAGAGTGAGGAGGCGTCACACGTGGCCTCTGCCCCTCTCCCAGGCCCGCAGGCCCTTCTAGGGCCCCTGAGGGCCCAGGCTGCTGCTGACCCTTTCAGGAGCACCTGATCCTGGTTCTCAACCCAGAGCACCCATGGCAAGCCACTCCCTTCTTGGGCCTTCGTTTTCCCACCTGCATACTGGGGAGAAAGGTGGATCCCATGGTTCCTTATGTTTTCCATGGGAGTATGGGTCCCTTCTGTGAAGGGGCTCCCAGTCCCCTCTCCACCCTCAAGTGCTTTGCTTCCTGCAGGGCCCCCCAGGACCGCAGGGCAGACTGGGCCAGCCTGGGCAGCAGGTACGTCAGGCCGTGGCTGCCACCCCCTCCCCGCTCTCTGCTTTGTGACCCGTGCCTCTAATGAACCCACTGTGCTTCCAGGGTGCGGCTGGTGAGCGAGGGCACTTGGGCGCACGAGGCTTTCCCGTAAGTATCGCCGGTTCTTGGAACTCCGTGGGCTGTGCCCCTAAGCCACATGCCCCTCCTGCTGTGGAAGCTCCAAAGGTTCTCGCTGCCCACTCCCTGCAATGAAGACCCTCCAGTGTGTCTCTTACCCTGGGACTCCGTGTCCCCATCCATCACCCAGCAGAGGGTGGGCGTAGGACCCTCAAAAGCTGTGATGGCTTGACTGAGGCCAAGGGGACAGGCAGGATGGAGAGGCCATGGAGGGACTGAAGTCGCCTTTGCTTGTCTCTGCAGGGCATCACGGGTCCCTCAGGCCCGCCAGGCACCAAGGGCCTCCCAGGAGAACCGGTAAGTGCTCTTCCCGGCCCTCTTTGCGTCTCTGCCCAAGCAGGTGGTGTGGACAGGGGGTCACACAGGAGCGGAATCAGAGAGGGACAGTGCTGGGGCCGATGGGACAGCCTCAGCTGGTGGAGAGAGCACTGGCTGAGCAGCTCAGGAGCTTTGGGTTGAGTCTAAGCCTCCAGCCTGCTAGTAACATGGGAACGACGGTTCCTTTATCTTTGCCATCTTGTTGTAAGGATGAAATGAGAAAATGTGTATAGAGTGCTCATCACAATGAAAAGCAAAAGACGGGCGGGAGGGGGAGGGGGAGAGGGGGAGATTACACTAACAAGCTGCCTGGGACCTGCAGAGCCCAGCGTGGCCGAAAGGGTGAGAGCCGGACATGGGGGGACAGACAGCCCAAGTGTCGGGAACTTAGTGAGGAGGCTGCAGGGTGGTGCTGCTGGGGATGGAGAGGAGAGGACAGTCTCCAGGGGCTCAGGAGAAAGAGTCTCCAGTGGGGCAGGGGGACCACAGGAGGCTCCTGTCCCTCAAGCCACAGTGCCACCCCACATCTTGAGACCCAAGCAGATACCCTTTTGAACAGTGAATTGACCAGGGCCTGGGGTGGGGGTTTCCGGAGTGGATCTTAGGTGGAAGGGCACCCAGGCAGAGGGAACAGAGTGACCAAGGCCCCTGAACTGAAAGGTTTCTGAGCAGGAGAGGGTCCCACTGGGTTTTAGGTGGGTGGATAGAGTCTGAAGATGGCTTGGAGGGGATACACTACAGACACCAGGACCCTCAGCATGGCCCAGGGTGGGAGTGTGAGCTGCAGAGTTCCAGGTTTTGTGGGTGCTCACCCTCACCCACCCCTCCAGACTGTATTATCAAGCCTTAAACACCAAAGAGGGTCCAGGATGGCTTCTCCCAACTGTCTGTGTGTCTGTCTGTCTTCTAGGGCCCTCAGGGAGCCCAGGGACCAATTGGCCCTCCGGGAGAGATGGGACCCAAGGTGAGTGCTTATTTGCCCTGTGANTGTCTGTCTTCTAGGGCCCTCAGGGAGCCCAGGGACCAATTGGCCCTCCGGGAGAGATGGGACCCAAGGTGAGTGCTGCTGGGTGTCAGCCTCTCCCAGCCTACTCCTAGGGGTCTCTGCAGAGACTGAGGCATAGGCACCCTGGCAGAGAGGACACATGCACTCTGATGGCAGAGGGCGAGGAGCTGACTCCCAGTCCCGGTGGCAATGGGTGGGGTGCCGGGTGCCAAGACCCTTGTGGGGGTGGGGGTTGGCAGTGCCTCTTTGTTGGCATCAAGGAAAGCAATAATGCGCCCACCCCCACCCAGCTGGGACTTCAACCCAGCCTGGGTTTGACCACGGAATCAGCCCTCTTAAGGACATGCAGCAAGGAGCTTGGAAGGAGCCTCAGACACCCCTGCCATATCCAGAGGAGAAAACTGAGACCTGGTGTTTACGCAAGGGCCCAGCCATGCCAATGGTGATAACTCAGGACAGCTTCCTGCCCTTGTCCTCCTGGCTGACTACAGAGAGAAGGGCTGGAATCACTCAGCCCTGAACACAGCAGTTGCTGGCTTCCTCCCCTTGGCCTTATGTGAATCATGAAATTTTCCTCCTCATGCTTGCCAAGGGGCTCCTAATGTGGTAAACCACACTCTTGGAGAAGGAGAGGGCTCCAGCAGCCTCTGGGTAGCCCGGGGCTCAGCAGCCTGAGCTCAGTCACCTCCCTTCCCCTAGTCCCAGCTCCGAGCTCCAAGACCGCTCTGTGTCTCTCACACTGTGTGACTTTGGGCACGTCCCTTGCCCTCTCTGAGCCTATCTCAGTTACCTCCTCCCTTACAACCTTGCTCAGAAGGGACGAATGGCATTTTCTTGCAGGGGCCACCGGGTGCAGTGGGCGAACCGGGCCTTCCTGGGGAAGCCGGGATGAAGGTAAGGAGGGTGAAAGAAGCAAAATGACTTACTGACCCCAGCTTCCGACTGGTGGCCCTGTCCTTCCCACCGAAGAGATACAGGCCTTTCTTGTGCCCAGGATAATGGGTTCTCTGTGCACCTGGCTGGGGAGTGGGTCCTGGCTGAGGCCACAGCAGAGGGCCCAGCCCCTGCGCCTACCCCTGCCCTCCTCTACCCCCACCCAGCAAAGTTTTCTCTGGCTCCTGCCCCTACCCCCGCACTGGGGCTGCCCTACCTCCTGGCCTCCTGATACCATCTGCATTTCAGCCCCGATGCCCCTCCTTACCTGCTGGGAAATAAGCGCCCACTGATACCTGGCCTCTGGGGAGTTGGACCAGCCTGGGACTGTCAGTCTTGGCTGGAACAATGCAGAAAACCACCCCATCAATAAAACAGGGAGAAGTGGGACAGTTCAAGTTGGGGCAGGGCGCAGGGCTCAGAGCTCTGCTTCCTCCTTGCGCCCCAGACACCAGCAGGGAGAGAGTGTAGCTTGGAAAGCACCACAGGAGAAAGACCCTTTTGGGGTCTTTTTGGTGGAGGGGGTCATGACATTGATTCTGGCTTATTTAGACCCTCTTGCCTGTTGGGTTTCTCTTCAGGGCTCTCAGGGAAAGTAAAAGAGGTGGCCCACGAGCCCAATTTGCCATCTCAGAAGCTGATACTTTCTGGAGCCAAACTGCCTGTGTTTGGATCCTGAACCTGTTACTTATTAGTCATGAACTTGAGCTGGTTACTTAACCCTACCACCCCCTCAGTGTCTTCATTTATTTAAAAAAAAAATTTAAAAATGTACAGTTGGACTCTAACAACACAGGTTGGAACTGCGGGTGTTCACTTATATGAGGATTTTTTTCAATTGACCGGTGCAGTTCAAGCCTGCATTGTTCAAGGGTCAAATCGAAGGCTGGGAATCTGCGTATGCGGGCAACCCTAGTTACATGCAGATCTTTGACTGTGCCCCTAACCCTAGCATTGCTAAAGGGTCCATTACACTTAGAACAGCGCTCTGGTTGACGTTTTACAATTTCTCTTTGGTTCTTGCCGCCCCCCCCCCCCAAATCAGAGCT